ACCACAACAGTAAGTTCTGGAAGGCTATCTATCCTAGGCATTGAAAGTACCCAAAGGCACTCAACACCCATTTGCTGAACAAATGAATGAGCTCTTTTTAAAGAGCTGACAGATTGATTACCTGACAGATTGGCACCCCTTTGTGATTATGTCTTCTTCCACAGGTGACTTTCAGAAGAACACCTGCTGTCATCCTCTGGTTCTTGGGGAAGCCCTGTCTCATTCAGAACTGGGAACTCATTGCCTTTTTTCTGACAGTCCCTTCTGTGCAGCACAGGGGAAATCTGGCCTAGATTCAAACTTCAGCTTTTCTCTAATTCGTTGTACGATCTTAGGCATGTGTTTTACTTTTTACTTGGAATATAAACCTAATATAAAACTCACCTCTCCAAAATGTAGAGGAGGAAAGAGATATTTTATTATCACCAATTTCCTCCAAGGACGGGAAGAGAAGAAAGTGAAGATGATGTTTTATAACCTACAGGGGGATGGACTCAATGCCAGTAGCCACCCTCTTACCTTCCTCAGTACTCAAACCTTTGCTCAAGCAACTCCTCTCCCCCTTCCTTGGCACAATCATCTGTGCCAAGTCAAAACTGCACTTCAGAAAATTTGCCAGCCCCCGGAACCACTCTGTCTTTCAAAGTCTTTTGTCAGGGAACCGTATCATAATTTTTTTTTAAATCTGCCTTCCTGAAGTCTACATTGGAAATCTGACATCCCTGGTAATGTTTGTTTTGTGAAATACAGTTGCCTTCTCTCAGGTCCTTCTAATATCCAATTTGCAAGCACCCCTCCTTTCTTGTTCCCAATCATACACCTAGTCTAGGTCAGAAATGGGACAGATGCTCTGCATTCAGAAAAGCCGGGCTCTCAACAGAGGTCTCCGTAGTTGAAGGGCTACATGGGTACTCTTTCTTACCTCACTCAGTTCAGGGTTAGTTTGTGACCTGAGATAAGAAGAGTGCACATCTATTTCTTCTAACTGGCAAGGTAAAGGTAGTATTTCTCCCAAATGGAAACTCCTTGATTCTTTCCTTCTTTCCCCTCACCCATATGACTTCTGGTTTGCTGCCAAGAAGCACCAACCAGACTCAGAAAAAGACCTGGCTGGAGAGGCTGCCTCCACAGAAGCTTATTCCCTGTGGGCATGAGCAGCTACATTCCGGGCACCCACCTCCACTGTGGGGAGGACAGAGAAAGAGGAGATACAGTCAAAACCTAATGTCTAGATTTCTAACCTCTACCCCACAGGGCCAGAATCTTAGAAGAAGGCACAAAACATAGTTCGGAACTGCTGAGAAGAAACTACTGCTCGGGAGGTTAGTCTTGCAATGACTAGGGTTGGCTAGGGTTGAGGAAAAAAGGCCGGAAAGTAAGGAGTTGAGCAATGTTTTCAAGGAACGGGGGCAGGCATAATCGAGTTAATATGCAAGGAAAGCAGTTTCTATTTCTAAAGAGGTAAATGAGCTTTGTCTTCTCTTTGAAATACTGTGGGTACTCTGCCAGGTAAGACTTTCTATAGGAAGTTCTCAGGAAGAGGAAAGGGTAATTAATTGTTAAAGATTCCTTCAGCCATAGGTTCTCTATTCTGCCTCAGGACTACTGAAAATCTCTCTCGTCTTCTCATACCTTGAGGGTCTCTGTCCCAAAGCCTTCTCAAGTCTTTAAGGACAAATGATGCCTTTCGGTCCTTAATCTCTTTAACCAGGAGACTTGGGGGGAGTGAATTCCATCACCAATGTTCTGAGAGAACAGAATTTACCAAAAATAAAACCACTGAGAGGGTCGACACACATGCACGATCCTAAAGTGCCAAAGGACAGGTCCTTCCACTGCTAATCTTGGGACCTGCAGGGCAAACATCAAGTTTCAGCAGTGTTAGCAACTGTGTGATTTCTTATGGAAATGATCTCCAAGGTCCTTTCCAGTCGTGACACTTTATGTGATCATAGGAAATGGAAGAATAGTCTCTTATTTTATAAAACAGATACAAAATAAAGCAAATATGGAAATACTAAAACTAAAGATTTGCCTCAATTCTCCCAGGGACCCCAGGGCCCAAATTTGCCCAGAAGGTGGCAAAATTACTTGTTTGATTATCCCCAGTCTTCTTAAGTCAAAGGCAAGGAAATGACGGTGAAAGAAGGGAAAGACCAGTAAGGCAGGAGCCCAAGGAATTCACACACAGGTGCCTCAACCCTCAAACAACTGGAAACAAAGGAGATGCTGGCCCGGGCTGGGGCTGGGCCCCTGTCCTTCAGAAGTTTATCATCTGGTATGTCCAGTCTGGTGACATCTCATGGGCATTCAAGCCAAGGAATCCAGTGTGAATGAATTCTGCCACCCTGATTCCCCTTCTTCTCGCCAAATTCCCAATGCCCACCTGATAGTACCATCAAAGTTATAAGTAGAGGGTGAAACGGTTTGCTTCAATCCACTCCTCTGTCGTTACTAGCTGGCTGACGTGGGCATTGGCTATTGCATTATTTGCCACTTTAGCACCACCCTGACTATAGAGAGCAGCCAGCCTTTGAGGGGTGTATGTCTCTCCTCAATTCCCTATGAATATCATTGAGCAACCTTTTCTTCTCTCCCAGTTCCCATCTAACCAATCCTATTCAAAGAGAAATACACAAGGAACACTTACCTCAGTATTCTCACATTGCTCTTCCCTTGGCCAGAAAGGAAAGGTTCTGGAACATTCTCTGTTCCATGTTCTTTTCCTCCAACTCCTCCCCCCAGCTCTACCAGCTCTCCTTCACTTGTCACCAAGGGAAAACTCAGGATGAATAACTGACATTTGTAGTTTTTACAGTACATGCTTTTTCATGCATGTTTTTGCATACGTGATTTTATTTAGTTCATGGTAAGCAGTACATTTCACCCATAAAACAATCCCGTGAGCCAAAAGCACTATTTTTTCCTACTTTATAAAAATATGCAAACTAAGGTGTAGACAGATTCATAAGTTGTCCATGCTCACATAGCACCTAAGTCACCCCAGGACTCAGAGCCAGCCAGGCCTTTTGACACTGAACTTACCCACTGTTTGCTCTGCTACTCCACATTATCATGTCCAAGTTCACATCCTGGAAGCATGAGGAGCCTGAAGTATATTACCAGTTACAAGCCCTCAAAAGGAACAGAGACCCTTTATCTTTCTCCCTGCTAGCCTGAGTAGAGATGTCCAGACTGAAGGACCACGGACATGAGACACCCGCAAAGCACCAAGGCCAGGTAGGAAAAGGGAACCACAGAGTGGGAACCAAAGGCCCACAGGGTGTGGGAGATCTGCCACAGCACCACTGGGTCACAGCAAACACCACAGGACGTCCAGGCCACGGGGCAACCCCAAAGGAGCATCACAGGGAAAGGCCAGAGAGGCCTCCCTCATCCACGCTTCCAGGGAGAGGGCATTGGACACACTCCCTCTGGCCAGGGCTGAGAGCTTGAGCAGATGCAGGCACACACACCCATGCACACTCAGCAGCAAATTCGGAGCCATGGAAATGAAACCTTGGGCTCACCCAAAGACCAAAGGAGAGGCAGCCACCATCTTCTCAGACGCCAGCTGTCAGGCAGAGCCATAAAATGTGCCTCGACTTAATTTTTCCATGGTCACAACCCACATGGCACTGCCAGGCTCCGGAGGAGCTGCAAATTCTGAAGCCTCAGAACTGCTCTGCTCTGGGATCCACAGCTGGAGCTGGGGAGGGAGTATTTGGGAATCAGAGTTGCTACCTCTGGGGCTCAAATACTCAGAGATATTGGAAGAGAAAGATATTCTCTTCCAATATCTTTCCAAGGTCCAATATGGCAATAGAGTAAGTTTTCATTCAGCAACTGCTACAGGGTTGGAATTCAATGCAAATTGCTTACATCTGTTTGGCCATGTCCCAGTCAGGTAGTTCAGAGACAGGAAGGGCAGTGCTGGCCGACTTTTGGGAGCAGGAGTAGCTGTGTGCTAAAGAATTTGGTGCCATGCTGGGACCAGCCAGACTAGGGGACAAAATTCCCCAATGGAATAGAAAAAAAAACCCATCAGGGCAGACAGAGACAATAGATTCCATTCCAGTCTGGTTGGAGAGGGATGGGACAGGGAAGCCACAAAGACCCCCAAATGGGGTGGAGGTGCAGAGAGAGAAGGCTGGCCTGCAGGAGCAAGAGCAATGGCAGATTCACCGCACACGACACAGCCCTCAGCCAAGGAGGGTGTGTGCACTCACTAATCTCATACATTTATAACCTCTTCCCGACCCTGCTAAACCCCTGCACTCCCCACCATACCCCACCCCACCCCACCTACCCCAGCTGGCCAGCCTCCCTTGCGCTTCCTGCTACTGCGTGGCTCTCTAGCATGAAAGCCACCGCTGCCGAGAAGCTGAAAATGAGAGACAAGTACGGGCCAGAAGAGCAGAGCTTCTCCGGAGGGCAGGGACCTCGGGCCTTGAAGGGTCCCTCTCCCAGGCTTTCTCCTTTTGCTGCAGTATCCTTATAAGGGAGAAACCAAGTCCACCATCCGCCTGGATTTTTAAAAAATGTATATATTCACCAGGCTAGATGATGACTTTTTACCCATTGCAGGAGAAAGCACCATCTCCACTACCCCACGCCAGGGCAGGTTTTGCGTTTTATTTCTCCTCTTAAACAAACAAAACAAACCAACAAACCATTGGTTGGTTCAGATCTTCTAACAGCTGGGAGCCAGGAAGTGTGTTTAAGAGAGAAAGGGGTGGGGAAGGGCGGCCTCGGGCTCCAGATGCCCCAGAACTGCTGGAGCGGGGTTGGCGGGGGCGGTGATCAGTCAACCTGCTCCGCGCTGCGAACTGGTGTTGTCGCCCCCACGGCATCTGCGGCTCAGCACGCGCGGGCACCCTTGGCTCTTGCTATTGTTGTGCCTCGGCCGTTGCCATGTTAGAGGGGCAGCCCTTGACCTCCGTCCCCTCCGTGCCGGGCCGTGCCCCTGGCGGTTGCTCTCAACCGTGTGTGCGTCCTACCTGTGCTCCCCGCCGGCTCCCCTCCGAGAACCAGCCCCGACGGCAGCAGCTCGCCCGGCAGCTCCCGGCGGCCTCGGCTCCGGCGCCGCGCTGGCGACCGGGCAGCGCACAGCCCCTCCGCGCCGCCCCTCTCCAGGCGCAGCGCTCCCGAGCAGCTGGGAAGCAGGAAGGAACGCCGGGACCAGCTCTAGGGAAAGAAACTCCTCTCAGCCCGGAGCGTGCGCAGCCGGCAGTCAAGCAACCCCGCGGGAGACAATAGCGGGAGCAGCGGACCAGAGCACAGAGGCCATCTCCCGGGGACCCAGGGCACTGCACGGCGACGCGACGTTCGGCCACACCGCCCGGCCCGTGCAGGACAGCGTTGGACGCGCAGCCCCCACGCGCCTGCTCTAGCCCCGGCCCCCGGGCCGAACTCGTGGAATCCCAGCGGCAGGCGGGGCGGGCCCGCAGCTCTGACTGCTTCCCACCCCTTCTCCTGCTCTCCCCTCCCCTCCCGCCCCCCCATCTCTCTCCTCCACCCCTTCTCCTCCCCCACTCTCCTGTCTCCTCCCCTTCCTTTCTCTCTTCCCTCCACTTCATCCTCCCTTCGACCTCTCCTCCCCTTCTCCCCCTTACCTCTCCCCTCCCCTCCCCATCTTCCCTCCCCTCTTCTCCCCTCCTCTCTGCTCCCTACTCTCCCCTCCCTTCTCCTCCCCTCCCCTCCCCTAATATCCCCTCCCAACTTTCCCCTCCCCTCCTCCTCTACCTCCCCTCCCCTCCCCTCCCCTCCCTCCCCTCCCTCCCTTTCCCTCCCTCCTCCCCTCCCCTCCCCTGATATCCCCTCCCAACTTTCCCCTCCCCTCCTCCTCTACCTCCCCTCCCCTTCTCCTCTACCTCCCCTCCTCTCCTTTTCCCCACTCTACCCTCCCTTCTGACTCCCTCCCTACCCACCAGTGCGCCTGGAGGAGAAACGCGCCAGCGGCAAGTTTTGCTTGGAAAACCCAAGAGCCAAGATTTTCCTTTCCCATTCGGGTGAGGGTTTTTGCAGATGGTTGTGACTTTTTCCCTTTGCACAGTGTCAGATGAACGCCAAGTCGTTCTGCTGGAAATGACAGGACAGAGTTTTGAGGTTCCGTTATCCTTTTGAAAAATTTCCCCAATGTTTAAGATAGCAATGCCCGAAAGAGCCCCTACTTGAGGCCTGAGGTTAAGTTGAAGAGCAGCTACATCGTCGTTGTCACACTCAGCCTCCTTGGTTTTTCTGTTTGCCCAAGTGAGTCGTCGGCCCTGAGCTTCAGAATAGCAATCAACAACCCGAGACGGAAGGTTCGGTGGCAGATCCTCCAAGCCAGTTATGGTTTAAAAAAAAAAAAATTCCTCTTTCGTGCAGTATGCCATACCCTCGTATTTAACATTTTTTGGCTCTAAGTACCTTTCTTTGAGTGGTGGTCTATAGAATTTAACAAGAAGCTCCACCTAAAAGAAACCAATAGGTGACCAGCTCCTCATCTGCATTTGGTTTGCATAATAACTATGATCTCTGATCTCAAAGTACATTTTCCTCAAAGCGTGAAACTTGTTTCCCCCAGGACCCTCCTCCTTTCTTGCCAGGCTGAGGAGATCAGCACCGGTTCTCAACCTTTCTCCTCTGCAACCCCCTCCAGGTACCCAGGGTCTCAGGAATCCTAGGCTCCTTCAGATGCCCACGACTCCCCGGCCAGCACTCCTGTGAGAACATCTGCCAGCCAACCTTCCTCTTCCCTGGTCTCAAGGAAATATTTGTTAAAGTGCTACTGTTACAGTCTATTTTTGGTTTGCTACAGTGTTAAAAAGAAAGACAAAGGTGTCAGAAAGGCCTTTAAAAAATTCCCTCATTATTATGAAACCACAACTCAACACAGTTCTCAGAGTCAGAGTAGCACAGTTGCTACAGCCTCCAGAACTCAGTAAGAGGATAACTGTTGGGAAGAGAATTTGAATGCCCAAAGGAAGATCTACAGAAGGAGAAAGCATTTAAAAAGTGACTTTGGGATTCAGAATGATTTCTTGGGAAATGCTTTATTCTCATAAAAGATGAAATCTGGGCAAATGGAAAGGACTGTTAATTGCAGGCAACCCTGAGTGAAGCAATGGGGGAAGTGCATGGGAGGGGACCAAGGCCTGTAGCGCTCTCTACTCACGGGGATATGAGCTCGGGTAGTCCGCTTGGTCCCTGAGTGTTGGTAAAATATCAGCCTCACCTCCCACTCAGGCTGCTGCGAAGATCGAGTGAGAGAATGAATGTGGGTGAACCACTTTGATGTGGACAGGCAGCGTGCTCTGCATCTATGTCATGTTGTACACGTGATCCTATTCCTGATCCTCAAGAACCACGGGGGATAAACACGCACTTACTCATTCACTCACTCTTTTACCACTTACTCACAATACAAACATTCATGCCAGCTTACTCTGTGCCTATCATCAGGCTAAGCTCAGAAGCTGAGCGAAAAGAGCAGCACAGGGGCCATCAGTGCTTCAGTGTTGCTGGAGTGAAAAGTTTGAGAGGGAGTAGTTCTGGGCTGTTGATCATATCAAAGCATTTCTGATATGTTTTATCAGGGAGAAAATTTTGTTATAAGAGAAACCAGGGCATGCCAGTAAGTTTAGATTTTGTCCTGTAGGTGTCAGAGAACCCAGGGTGTAGACAAGCGGAGCCTGGAGTGATGTGATCAGAAAAAAAACTGCTGGTGTATTACCCAGGAAGATTTGGAAGATGCGCTGTACGTCTTCCCTTTGCCCCTCAGGTCCATCTCGGGCCCTCTGGCTTTCTCATAGGGGTGGGCCAGTGGAAGCCTTGAGAGCAGACTGGGAGGAGGGAGGCCAGGAAGGGATGAATACTTATTCCTCACGATCTCTCTCTTTGGGGTCACTGTGCTCTGGCTGCCATCCTCAACTAAAAATCATAGCTCCTTCTCGGTGGTTGTGGGTATGATCCCTGGGTGGGGCACATAGAAGAATTGAGAGCACATGCAAGAATCTAAGTGAAACAGTAGGTTGATCTCTGTGTCTCTCTCTCTCCGATCAATGCATACATTTTTTTAAAAGCTCTATAAACAAAAATAAAAAATAAGAAAGGAATCAACCAATGAATGCATAAATAAGTGGAACAAACTGATGTTTCTCTGTCTCCCTTCCTCTCTCTCTCTCTCTCAAACCAATAAAAAAAATTGAAAACACGTGGGCCTGCGAATCAAAGGATTGCGGTTCGATTCCCAGTCAGGGCACATGCCTGGGTAGCAGGCCAGTTCCCTGCAGGTCAGTTCCCAGCAGGGATGCACAAAAGGCAACCATACATTGATGTTTCTCTCCCTCTCTCCTTCCCCTCTATAAATGAATAAGTAAATAAAATCTTTAAAAAAATTGAAAACAAATAGAATTACTCTCCACTTGACACCTTAGGAATTGGGGGCAGGTGGTGCTGTTCACTACATGAGGGGCAGAGCCCAGGTTTTGGGAAGCAAGCATGAGTGTAATTTTCGGTGTGTTGGACTTGTGGTGTCTATAGATTGTCCAGGTGAAGATGTCTTGTAGGCAGTGGATTTCTGAAATGAAACTCAAAGGTGTGGACAAAGCATATCAATTTTGTGGTCTTCACAGTATAGGTGGCCAACAAAGTTATGGGCATGGATGAGGTCACCTAAATGGGTATAGAGAGGAAGGAAGAGACTTGCAAAAGAAATCAAGAAAAAACAACCAAGTCGATAGAAAAACTGAGACCACAGAGTTTCAGAAAGGAGGTTGAGAGAAAGTATCAGGATAGAGTGATAGGAACACGAGTATAGCAGGGACATTCAGGAGAACAAGACTAAAAATTGCCCTTTGGCCCTGATCAGTGTGACTTGGTTGGGCGCTGGCCTGCAAAGTGAAAGGTCACCTGTTCAAAGGTCAGGGCACATGCCTAGGTTTTGGGGGTTCAGTCCCCAGTCAGGGTGCATATGAGAGGCAACCAATCACTGTTTCTCACATCGATGTTTCTTACCCTCTCCCTTCCTCTCTCTCTAAAAATAATTAAATAAAATCTTAAAAAATATTAAGAAAGCCACCAGTACCAGTGGTGTGAGAATAGTCACAGTTTAACCAGGCCCCAGTGGGAGAAGGAGTAAAGGAGACACATGAATACAGACCACTCTTTCTAGAAGCTCAGCAGTTAATTGGAAGGGCAGTGGACAGGGGGAATGCAGAATCAAGGGGAAGATTTTTGTTATGTCTTTTCTTTTTCAGATAGGAAAGCCTTAAACAAACTCATATGTTGAGGGGGAAGGTAAAGGAGATGGGGAGGTGATGATGAAAAATGTCCCAGACAAGATGGGACCTGGGCACAGGAAGGTGGAGCTGACTGGGTTGTCTTTGGGAGGAAGAGCGCACAAGCCGATGCGTTAGTGTAAACCTAGGAGTTAGAAGTTGAGGGAAGGGTATGCTACCTGACAGTCTCTGAGTCATCTCCTGAGAGAGGAGGGGTCAGGGTAAGGGTGAGGATTAAGGAGAATGGTTAGGGTTCAAAAGCCACTGAAAGAAATGAGAGTGGTAGCTTGTTAGAGAAATAGTATTGTCATCAGAGTTGAGGATGTGGCTGGGATCAGATAATCCAACATGCAGTGGCTTCAATTTGAATATTTTTATCATTTTCTCCTGCAGCTCTGGGAAGCTCAGATGTAGAATGTTGAATCAGGGTTGGGGGCTGCAGAACAGGTATAGCTGAAGGATAAAGGGGAAAGAGAGTCCCTGACAAAAGAGGAGGTGCCCAAGGACGGACGTGAAACTGGGGAAAGGCGGTACATCTTTTTCTTTAATTTTGCTTATTTATTTTTAGACAAAGGGGAAGGGAAGGAGAAAGAAAAGGAGAGAAACATTGATGTGACTCTCACACACACCAAGACCAGTGGACTAACCCACGTCCCAGGACCAGGAATTGAATCAGTGACTTTTTGCCTGTGGAACGAGACCCAACCAGTTGAGCCATAGCAGTCAGGGCAAGGCTGTGAATCTTGAAGAAGGGGGAGTTAGAAAACTGGGCTACCTCAAATAGCATTCCCCCCTAGACTTTTCTCCAACACCCCAGCAAGAGTGATCTTTCTAAAGCAAATATCTGCTTCTCTTGCTAAAAATCTACTAACATATAAGCTCCATAAAGGCAGGCGATTTTTACTTTGATTTTTAAACTTCTGTATTCCTAGAGCCTAGTACATTTCCTGGCACATAGCACATGCTCAATAAAATTTATTGAACGGAAGGCTCCATGTAGCTCTCAGCTAAAGTTCAAACTCCTTGAGAAAGCCTCTCACAGTCTGGCCCTTGCTTTTAACTGTAGCCTTGGAGGAGAGGAATTTTGTCTTGTTTGCCTTTGTCTCCTCAAAATAGCATCTGCCATGCAGTAGCCACTCAATAAATGTGGGTTGAATAAATAACTCCCTCTTGCACTTAAGTGCAAACGTCAGGC